GGAAATGACTTTCAAGATGTTTTAACCTACACTCCCCTGGAGCAAGCAGTCTGAGAGAATGGCTCCTCATGCTCCCTTAGCAGAGCTCCCTAGGAAACTGTCAGCAGTAGAGCTTTATGAAGATGTTGTACTATATTGCTGTGTTGTGTTTCTAGGAAAACACAACCATACAAGTTAAAAGCCATCCAGATGCATAAACATGAAAATCATGGGTGTGAACTTCTGTGGCTGCAATTTTGAAAACAAGGGAATTTCTTGGACTGAATTCTTATGGCTGTTTGGATGTTGTCCAATGAAACTGTTTGAATAGCTGACCTTCCAACCTCAACAATATTATGATTCTGTGAATTTCCAGCTTTTGGCCAGCACAGAATGCCATATTTCATTAAAGTGATAGAGAGCTATAGGACAACTCTAATACTTGTGCGATAATCTGAGTCAACTCCTCTTCTAGTTACAGGAAACAAGTTCTGCAAAGCATTCTGTACAGAGTAACTGTATAGCTGATCTGAAAGCTTCTGCCTTAGGTGTTGGCTTCATTTCTTGGCTCATTGAAGAAGCTGAAATATTTTCTAGAACTCTGTGCAATGAGGTTGGTCAGACTGGGTTGTTTTTGTTTCTGAATGAATTAAAAAGACAGTGTAAGGACCCATACATCCATACCTGAGTCTGGTATTCTCAAATGGATTGCTTTGGTTGGAGCTACCAGATCAGCAGATTAGCTGTAGAGTGTCAGCCTAATTCAAATAAATGTCCAAACCTTGTTTTTATTTATGGAAATCGAAACCACATATCACATTCCTCTACAAGTCTACTGTACAGCTCGGGTTTTTTAAACTTTCATAGTAATTGTCCAGTCAGAAGAACTGGAGAATTCATGACTTAATTTAAACAAGGGCTAGTAAAGTTGGTTTGTTCACAGAGCTCATGGGTAAGACGAGCAGAATTGCTGTCCTTGCTTTGTGGAAGAAGAGGCTGAATCAGAGAAGAGAGTGACTTTCTGAAGGTCATCTGGTAGATCAGTGTCAAAGAGGACTTCTGATGCCTAGCCCAGCATTTGGGTGATATGATGCAGAGTGGACTGCCTATCCGACCAAAAGCTGGGGAAAAGGTACATTATCATCCAGGTTTCTTAGACGAGGAAAGATTCTGTAACTTTTTCCTGGTCCAAATATGATGTGCTCAAATAGGACCTGAAAAACAGAGCATCCAGGCCTTCTGGCAATTTGGACAAAACACGAATGTCTTTTCACCTAATTCTGTATCGCTGACAGCTGAATTACTGCAGAGAAAAGAGGAGCATAATCACAGCACAGCTGTGGTCAGTCGTGAGGTATTTCTGAAGTAGGCATTTTCAACTCCATTTAGTTTTGCCTGACTTGTCTGTTTTGATGCACAAGTTCCGTTTTCATTATGAGGCGATAATAAGCTTGAAATTGCTGCTTTTCTAATCCAAGTCAAAAGCTCACCTCTTTGAACTAGGAATGCTGGTGAAAACAGTTTAAAGCCTTGGAAATGTGAATGGAGCTCTCAGCTACTCTGGCCACATGCTGGATAATTAAATGTGTGGCAGGAAGAAGAAATTTCCTTCCTTTAAAAAAATGAATCTTTCACAATAGTTGTCATCATGAAATTTATTAAAGAATTGACTATTAAGGGTTATTTCATGACAATCTGGGGATAATGTCTTTCAGACTGCATAGTCAAACTAAATATGAGTGTATAAAAGATAACAGGCTCTCCACTGCATATATGGTGATATGCATAACTTGTGACTGCATTGTGCTGTTGCCCAACAAGACCCTTATTTCATGGCAAGCCATCAGAACAAATTCTTCCATCTTTGTAGGGAACACAAGGTTGGAACCAGCTCAGTATTTCATAGAATCATAGAATCATATAATAGTTAGGGTTGGAAAAGACCTTAACATCATTTAGTTCCAACCCCCTGCCATTTCCTTTAGATTAATGTAAGAGTCAAAAATAATACATAAGAATGCATTAGGTGGCTCAAATGCTTAATTCTGAAGTTGTTGACTTGAGAAAAATGGCACCAGGGAATAATATGGTGCTGGGTTTTGGTGTAATCTGCCAGTTCTACAGACAAAAAAATTCAGACCACTGACAGCTTGAACTATGGTACGTAAGCTTCATGATTCTGATTTCTGCAAGACAACCAGAACTAAAAGATGTATTTTTGTCAGTAATCACCTTTGTTTTTCCAAAATGCATAAATCACATTTGGTTTGCTCTGAAGCCTATAACATTTCCAAGCACGTCTCCAGAAAACCTCTGGAGATCTAATTATTCCAGGATACCACCAAAAAAAAAGTTATTACTTATTTGAACTGCTAAAACTGCTAGCTGCAATGTGACGACTTCTCTGCCAGTGTTATTCTCCTTCAGAAAAGAGTTTCTAACCTCAATAGCAAACATAGCTGGGTTTTTATTTTCCCAGGACCTGAGTTCAATTATTGAATATGCCCTAGGCTGAAAGAACACCAGGTACACACAATATCCAGTATTTTAAAATAGCAGTAATAATAACTTTTGTTTAGAAAAAAATAGATTTTAGCTCAGAACATAGACCAAACGGAGAAATTAGTCTGATTTAACTGAATCTCAAAGTTGCTATTCTACCAACTTCAGTGGAATTATTCTTATTCGCATAATTTTAAAGCCAGGAGTCTCCAATTCTGGGTTGAAATCAGGTGTGGGGATTACAGAATAACAGATCCTAAGCCTTAGTCTGTAGCAGAAAAGAAGAATCTGATGAGAAAGTCATGTGTCCTCAGCTCTTATTTTTCCCTTCACAACAGCCTTTGAAGAAAAGTATTGTCATAGCTGGATTTCCTTTTGTTCCTACATGATTGCACTGGTAACCCAAGGGCTGCTTGGGTTTCTGAGATGAATAAAGTAAGAAGAGTCTAGGTATTTCCTTTGCTTAAAATAAATCTAAATCTTAATTCTACGTGGCTTAGAAAAACTTGAAAAACTTTTCCTCCTTTGTGACTATTTTATACTTTACACGTCTTTTATATTTCCATAGTTCTGCCCATCACGGTAAAACCTCTCTGTGACCTTTGAAATTGTTTGTACTTTCATTCCCTGACATGACCTGAAGCGGCTCTTGGCACAATAATTGTGGTTGTTCTTAAGAGGCGGACAGGTGTTTGCTGGGGAAAGATGTATGGAATTCATGATACAGATTCCTTGCTCATAAGCCAAAGAGCAGTAACCCGCTGCATGACTTTGCTAATCTAAACCCAAAATAATGAAACTATAGCCCTCTATACATTGGTCCATCATGTTTCCTTTTGTTCTCTTTGAAAGTCTTTTAGATGCAGACATTTTAAAACAGGTTATTACTCATTTCTCTCTTGTGATTTTTGTCGTGGTTTTGCCCTCATGCTCAAGTTTTTAATGAATTAGAACTCTTCCCCATGTAACGTAGACTCATGTACACATCAGAAATGAGGAAAAAGTAATTCTGACGGAAACAGCCATATACAGTATGATACATCACTGGTGAACTGCATTCCAAATAAACACAACCTGGTACTTCATGTTACTTGTGGCCTGAAAAACAGTTAGACACCTAACATAATATTGGAAAGGGCCAGAATATGTAATCCTTACAGAAATAATAATAGGTTGTTTTGCAATCATTCCCTAACTCTTCACATCTTCTAGTAACATGTAAAAGACCTTGGCCTCTCTCTTAAACCAGAACTACACACTGTCCATAGTAAGAATTAGGTTCATGCAATGCTTTAGGCAGTCTAGGACATTGTTGTAGTCACGTTTTGTTGCTTCTGCTGTTACAAGTGAGATTTCTTTTAAATATTGATGCTTAAATGAGTCAAGACCAGAAGACTAAAATACAAGTATACACTCCAAAGGTTCTTAAGAAGCTTTCATCAAGTGCTTAAGATAAATTAAACACTTGAACGTAGCATTTTGGCTTTCAATCTACTAATAATCTAGGTCAAACCAGAACCAAACGGTTCACATTTAACACATTGAAATGCTCCCCAGAGTTGCTTAATGATGACACCAGCTTTCATAAACACACTATCTATTGAATTGTTGTGTCCAAATCAATATTTCACCTGCCAGATCTCCAAGTCTTGCATGCACTGAGATTATCTGAGACATGTCAAGTGTCATAGGACCACTGTACATTGGGCCTTTATACTCTGAAAGTCCCAGGGCTTTATCTGATTTTTGCCTCATTTTTTTTACAGGCACCCAGGAAATCTGTACCAAGGCAAGGAATTGAACCTCAGAGCAGCTCATTCAACACTTTGACCATTAGTCTTTCCTTCCTTCCCAGATACGTGATTATTTTTTTACATGCTTTTCAGAATGAATGCTTGTAACATTAAGCATTATACAAATGCTGCAACGCTCCTGACTTTGTCTGAAATCTAGCACAGTAAAGCTATTGTATCAAATATGGCAAAGTGTTTACATAAATATTTAGAGAAAATTCACTTCTAATAATTATGAAATATTATTATGAATATAATTCATAAGAGGTAGCTTTTTAGTCTTGCCAAAGGTCATCTTCCTCCCCAGACTTGTGCAGAGTAAGTCATTGACAAAGTTATGTACTTTACTGCTGGCCTATCATATTAGAGCAGCTGCAGTTCAGAATGTTGCACAAAATTCATAAAATCATAAACTCATAGAGTGCTTATGGTTGGAAAGGACCTTAAGGTCATCTAGATCCAACCCCCCTGCTGTGGGCAGGGACACGTCACACTAGATCATGTTGCTCCGAACCCTGTCCAACCTGGTTTTGCAATAAATTTGCTTTGCAATAACAGGCCTAAAAAAAAAAAAATAGAAATGTATTAATTTACAAATTCAACTTTAACCAATTCCACCAAGATTGGGGCTTTGCAAGGTACACCTTTAAACTGAGTGAACTATTTCAAGAACCAAATTCGTCGCACTTGGAGAAACATTTAGAAAGAAATGGAAACGTTTGTTACCTTGGCTGATGTTTCAAACCAGCCCACAAACCCATTATCTTTGCAGAACTGATCCATCTTGATGCCGTTGTTCATAAGAACATCTATTCCCTGGTCACATTTGTTTGCTAAGAGGACTGTCGGCACAGGCTTGCCATTTGGAAGAACCAACTTAGAGTCCAAATCCTCTTTCCATTTTGTCACTGCCTCAAACGTTGCAGGTCTTGTAACATCAAAGACAATAAATGCCCCCATGGCTTCTCTGTAATATACCCTGGTCATGTTTCCAAATCTTTCCTGACCTGTGATAAAGAAAGAAGGAGAGAGAAAAAAATTGCCACCTTGTAAAAATCACTGCTTCCAGTCTAAGTCAATATTTCATATAGCATGTTTTCTAAGAGAACATTACTGAAGGTAGGACTTCATTTTGTAAGTCTCTGGAAAGGTGCTGTTTGCCTGAATAATGACAAGTACTACGCTAAAGTAATTTGTATGAAAATACAACAAAATATAGCATGAAAAAAGAGTTTTAAAGGAAACTCCCAAGGAAAGTTAATAACTTTATGACAAGCTTGAGCTTCAGTGTACAGTTTTATTATGCTGCCAGACTTCTAAGAGTGGATGGTACCAAGGGTCTTGGTGTACATTATAAGACTTTAAACAGGAGTCACAAGAAATCTAGATAACAGTCTGGAAGCTGCTCGATACTACAGTATTTTGTGGGAAACATCTAGCAATTGATCTGCTCATGCAGGAAGAGGATCCTGCATACACTCATGCAAGTGGTAATAATCAACAGTAACATATTCTGAGGCCATACCAGGCATTACAGTCATTATGAATTTACTTTTCATAGCAAACTAAAACACAGAGGTGAGAGAAGTGAATTTAAAGCCTTGCAAATATGGAAAGTGTTCTAAGAAAGAGATGTATTACTGCAGTGAAAAGATCTGGGAGGAGGTGTTTCACATTAGTTCTGTTCAGAAGCTTTATGGTTTCATTTGATGAATTCAAAGCATTTCTTGGAAGTTATTTACAGTGTTTTTGTGAGCTAACAATATATTATTATATTTGAACACAGACGTTTGTAAATGTCTATCATTTTATATGATCAATATAAAAAAGAGCACACTTGGCATCAGGATGTGGGTTTGTTGTACACATGCTGTTTTCATGGAAATTTTGAAACAGCATTTCCAGGAATGGAAATAAATTACACAGAATTTTTCTTTAAGTGAAAAAAACCCATACAATTTCTATTGATGTCTACTGCTGAGCTGTGATCTGAAAAGAAGAATTATAAATTCCTGAAACATCTCACAACAGCAGTCTTAAATACAACTTTAAGAGTTCAACAAAACTCTTGTGTTTATACATATACTTCCATAGCTGACAAAAGGTGTGATGAAATTAAACAGCATTCAGTGGAAACTTGTTTCTAGCCTTATTTTCTCAATGTGCATAATTTTGAGGGTTAGGAAGACAAGATTAGGAGGCTGCCTCTGACCCTAGGAAGGCCACCTGTAGAGGTTTTATCTGGAAATTGTGTTGTCAGATGTGAAGCTGGGTTGAGAACTGAAGACTGCTGATTACTGGGCTTCTAGACCATGTAGTTTTATTTAATGGAAGTAGCACTGAATGCACTTATGGGGTCAACACTCTCTGTTTGTGACGTCTATCTTTGGGTTTATGTTCTAGCTGTTGCAGCAAGGAGAAAGTTATTCACATGACACAGGAACCAAATATTGGTATCTGTCTTCTCCAAGTTAATATTAGGGGTTTTTTTACCTTAAACCAACACTCTGTTCCACTGATAAAGCAAGCTAAAAATGCAAAATTTCTGGGAAATGTGAGTTCATATAGAAAGATCCTTATGGCTGTGTTTTGTTAAAATGTCTTATGATTCCTATCACTGGGCTAATCAGATGAATGGCCAAGTCATGTGCTATTCAATAATCCCCTTGTTGAGCAATTTTCTTTCATCTGCAAGAAGGTGCCTTCAAACAGAAGTTGAGGTCTCTCTTTTGCTTGCAGTAATGCAAGCAGCGACATGTAAAATTAGTTTTTGTTGCATAGCATATTTCACTGATTATACTTCTGCAAAGTTCTTGAAACGCTTACACTGTAGATGAGATGTGGATATTGTAAGAACCAAACTTGGGCCTTACACATATTTATTGGAACAGAGATCTCTAAGATAGGTGGGACATGTCATAGAACAAGAACTCATTTGCAACATAAAATAATTCATCATAAAGTTATTAGAAGAATACAAGAATCCTATGATGCGATCTTCTGGCTCATAGTGGCCCACAAAGTTCTGACGGATAATATGCCACTGATTCCTCCTCCTGCTTTGGCAGATATCTAGGTTTTTCACTGCACAGAAAAAACACTGTGTTTGTAAAAGCAGCTTTATGCAGGGGAACAGGGCTCACCAATTTCCATTACCACTTCAAAGAAAGAGAAAGAAAGAATGAACCTGCGTGCAAACCCTTACTGAACTGGTCTTTCCCCCCCCCATCGGTTCCAATAAAGATATGACCCTACTTGGCATAAAGACTTTAAGCAATTTTGAATGGAAAAAGGTGGTTTGTAAACCCCAGACTTTTATGTCACTTGCATAATGACTTTACTTTTACTTTATTTACATTATAAAAAAAGTGATCTCTAGTGTTTGCATTGTGCTTGGAGACTTAAATACTGTGTCTAAGGACCCGGGAGGAATCTTTTTCCAGAGATTCTCCCTTATGTGAACAAATCCCTATCTATTAGATGAGGCTCCTAAAACTTATTCATATAGCAGAACTACTCATGAAAATGGCAACAGTTTGATGTATTAAAGGTGTCAGAATCTGGCCTTAGGTTTTCAGCAGCACAATGGCTTAAGCAGTAAGTAGGTTAGAAAATAGATCAACCATTAGGCATTCAGTGATATCTTGGAGGCAACATTGAATATTAGGATCTATTTTATTGCAAGAGGGACTGAGGGAGATGGGTTTTGCTTTTCACTGGAAGGGTCAGAAGCTTGTGAAATGTTTGTTTGATCTGGCCTATTGTACTTTACTGCATCCCTTGTAAGGCCACTGGCATCTGGCATCAACTCCCACAAGTCTGATGGCCTTTGCCCACTGAGATGGTGCTTTATGTTGTGATCCATCAGCCCTAATTTAGGTTCCATAAAATTAAGGGGTGGATCTAAGATTAGGGTTCCTTTGTAGTCAGAGACTGCGAAGAGCTCCAGAGGGCATCTTCTCAGCAAGACCAGACATTTAAGAGTGGTCTCATTAGCTTCTTCATGGAGGTATTTAATCTCTGCCCTCAAGCCCCTGGTGAGCCCAGGGTGAGTAGCTTAGGCTCAGATGGTTCAGTACAAGATGCCTAATTATTAAACCAGATGAATTCTACCCCTCTTTGAAGTGAACCCAGTGAGACCGAGGTACCAAAACAACAAGATTTCCATTAAGGGGAAGGGCTCCCTGTCTAAATAGCACCTTCCTGCCCTGCTCTCCTAACCTCAGTGGCACTTCTCTCACAGGGACAGGTAACATTTCATGGGCTTAAAGCAGTCAACAGCTGAATTTTCATAGCTTATTCACCCCACATAAACTTGCCAGCATGAATTGCACAGAAGTCTACTATTTCCACTATCATCTCTGATGAAATTATAAAAACTAATGGTAAAGTGCTAAAACACAGATAATTTCCAGCATTTCTCCCATAGTATCTGAATTATACTGCAATATAAAAATTAATTAAACTGCCTGATGCCCAGTTTTCCAATGGAGTTTGCCACCATCCATTGTCCTAAGAGGAAAAGCTTCTGAGAACCACCATTGCTAGGTAGAGGGGCTTTAGACAGCACTGAGAAGTTGGAAATTGTGGAGAAGATCTAGGCATTTCAATGAACCCTTCACACCTTCTGTTTCAATATAACTTTCAGAATTTTCATCCTTGAATTCAAGTCATTGTCTTTATGGGCTGAAACCTAAGCAAGCCTTAATGTGGTGTTCACCACCCCAGAATGGGGAAAAGCAGGCTGTCAGCAGGATCAGGCCCATGGATCTCACCACAGATCTGTACTGAATAAACCCACCCCAGGCAGAGACTTATTTATGTTTGCAGAACAGTAATTTCAAGGTAACTTAGCCTAGAAATCACCATGACTATCTTATTTATGCATATGTGCTGCAGATGTGCTGTGCTTTGCGTTAGTGAACAGCCCATTTATTCATCCTGGAGCATAACAGAAACTTTGCAACTGCTGAAACATTTATAGAATCATAGGGTTGGAAAGGACCTTAAGATCATTGAGTTCCAACCCCCCTGCCATGGGCAGGGACACCTCACACTAAACCATGTCACCCAAGGCCTCGTCCAACCTGGCCTTGAACACTGCCAGGGATGAAGCATTCACAACCTCCCTGGGCAACCCATTCCAGTGCCTCACCACCCTAACAGGAAAGAATTTCCTCCTTACATACAATCTAAACTTCCCTTGTTTAAATTTTAACCCATTACCCCTTGTCCTACCACTACAGTCCCTAATGAAGAGTCCATATCTGGCCATATCTGTACAAAGTCTGATGCTTCCAGAGGTGAAAGTCACAGGGAAAGGAAATGAAAGTGTTCTGTTACCACTGGCATTGCGTGGATGCCTCCAAACGCTTGGTCCAACTCTTTATGAGATGTGAAACAGCCTTGTAGAGGCAAACCAACGTATACTGGGTATCAATGAATAATCCAGCCCACACACATGCAGCAGGAGGGATAACGACAATGCTGACAGGGCTGTGAAAAAGTAGCAGTGGAAGGGGAAGGCTCTGAAGTGCTGCTCTCTGCCCTCCACTGCACTCACGTTGCTGCTCCCTGCAGTAAATCTGCAGCTAAAGCTGGTCTTCAGTGATCTGAGGGCTCTGTGGACACAAAGCTCAGACAGTAGCACTGAGAGCAGCCTTGCAGAGGAGGGAATAGCAAATACACCCAGATCTGATGCCTGCAGTAGCTGGTTTCTGCAAAAGCAGCTCCAGCCTGCATCTGCAGGGCCACCACACCACAGAGCTCTGTTCAAAATAGGATTAAGAGTTTCTTTTAAAGCTTTGCATCAGTCTGTTCATTAATTTAAAGTATACTCCTACAGAGGCAGCAGGAAAGGTAAGGAAACAAAACCAGTTGACCGAGGACCAAGATTTAAAGATGTATGACCAAGCAGTAGAGGTGATGACACACTTTCACAGGGACATGGACAACAAAACTGAGAATTTGGGACATTCAATGAAACGATTTGGAAGTGCTGTGAGGAACTTAAAGACAAAGTGTATTTTACCATGTATATCTCAACCCGGACACAATAGTGAAAATTCAGTCACCACAAACTTAGGCACTTGAGTGGATCAGACATAAAATCATAGTTTTTAATGCCAGCATCTTGGTACAGAAATTGTAACAGCATAAACCATGAAGCTTTGTCCAGTTATTCCTGTCTAACAACCATAGCTTCAGGAATATATTATCTGTTACAAAAAACATCCAAGTCTTAATGCAGTAGCATGTGATGCAGAACCTACCTGATCCCTGAATTAAATATTCTAATGCTTAGTTCCCTTATCGTTCAGCACTTACGTCTCATCTAAATAAATGTAGTTTCAGCATTCAGCTATTAGATCTTACTATACTTTTGTTTAACAAATAAAAAAATACAGAAAAATACTTTAAAGAAATACAAATTACATTTATCTATGAAATTAGATAGCACCAGATGAACCAAATTTGCTTTTTCTTCTTATGTCTGTAAGGGTAAAAGAGGGTAAACTGTTTGGTCCTACCGCAGCTGGAGTTTGTCACTGCTCCAATTAAGTCACTGTGTATGTACATCCTGCTATTAATGTAGATGAGCTTGACACCAGTTTTACGCAAAACCTTTTTGAGAAGATTATTTCTACATTGTTAGACAATTTACTGCCCACTGACCCACACAGTGAAGTGCACATTACACTTGGTGGTGAGTTCACTGGCTGTATAATGGAGAGGGAGGAGAGGATGCAAGAGCTAAAATGGTAATTGATATATATATATATATATATACATGTACACACTTGCATATAGAAACATGTAAATATTGATACGAGACATTATTGACAGATTTGCAGCATTTGCTTCAATTTAAGATGTCCTGAATGCAAAGCCAATGTCCTTCAACATGGTCAGAGACCAAAACTTTATTTCTTTATCCCCAAAGCTAAACATGGTCTAGAAATGGAGATTCTACCTAAAGAAAAAGGATGTTCTGAGACCAGAGTTTTTACTTTCCTTTCTCTTCTCCTTTCATATTTGTGTTTTCCAAGTGATGATATGTGACCAGGCACAGCCAGGATAAAGCATTTCCATTCCCTCCATATTTCTAAACTGTTTTACTTTGCTTTCATTTTTAAACATCTAATTTTCTCACCAGCCAGATGCCTTATTCAGGGTAACTTCTACGACAGCTCCACAGTGATCTGAATTCAGTGCATTGCTTACAGAACTTATGCTATGTACATCTATCAACAGCTGAAGCTCCTTACACAGAAGTCATTAAAACAGAGACAGCAACTCTTTCTTACTGGCCCCTGTCTTGACCTTCACAGAGATGCTTTGAATTGGGCAATTCATATGAAATTTAGTACTGTGGTGTAATTCTCTCTGTCATGTGTGATAACTCAGAAAGCATGCTAGTCATTCAGTACTACAACTTGGTGTAATTGCTTCTGCAGCCTGACTGAAAGCTACATCATATGATCCGCCAGCACATGATTAGTAGTGTAATACATCCCTGAAACAAGGCATGCAAAATACATTCTTTAAGTCCCCAATGCATTCAGAATCTACCATTAAACAGTCTTTCGCACGCAGAAAACTTCTGGATGTGTATGTATTTATTGTTATAACTGGTGGGCAATAAAAGCAACATTTACTCCATTATTCCAACTCTTAATAAACTGAGCACATATGTATTAAACATCATAAACCCACAAGATTTTACTGATTATAAAAAAGCCAAGGTTATGCATGTTTTGCAGCATTGTTGCATAAGTTTTGGTGCCTTGGTGCCAAATTCAGAGCTCAGACATGAGGCAGCTCAGTGCAGAAGAAAGGCACTCCCTCCGCTCCTAAGAATGCCAGGAATTTTCCCATTTCACTAGTTTTACTCTGTGCCGTTCCAGACTAGATCACTGAACCCACAGCTCAGGCCACAGGCTGGCCCAGTTGCCTAACAGCTGATATAACATTCACCTCTATTCCCTGCTTAACGAATGTAACTTCTTAATTTAATTAAGGTTTTAAAAGACCTTCCTTTTTGCTGTGAGTATTGTGTTACAGCTGGACTTGGATTCCTAAGGTCACTTAAATGAGAAATCATCGCTTAAAGCTTGCAGGAGATGGCATCAAGATAAACTTCTGTTTTGTGGACTGAATCAGAAGTAATTAATTCCTAGTAAGTGGGGTGCCAAAAGATGTCTGGATTTAATTGGAAGCCAAATATAAAAACTCCAAAGCACTGACAGCACCAGTGTTGAAGTCTGGGGGGGTTTAGTTACATAAGCATGCAAGGATAGCTCTATTTCTTTACTCTTTTTCTCCTAACAAAGTCAATGATCTCCGTTTGCTTGGTGTTGGCAGAAGGACAAGTAAACATGAGTAAATAAATTTTAACGACCAGGATTATTGCCAGAGAGAAACACTTCTCTTTTCAAAGCATGTCAGAAGTTGTTTATGTTTCATTGGGCTGAAGAAAGGGAAAGAAAGGAAGAAGGAGGCTGTTTTGAGAAAGGAACTCAGCGATACTTTTTCCTTATTTATTAAACTATAAAAATGATTTCAACCATGTTGTTGAATCCCTCGTCTCTTCCACCAAATAAACACTTGTAACAGGAAATTCTTGTTTCTCTCCCTCCCGTCACAGAGATCTGTAAGTACAATGAGGCAAGCTGAACAGTGGTAGCTGCAGAACAAGTGGGGCATTCGAAGAGGGGTGCCCATGTCCCCACACGTGTCTAGGGGCTTGGGAGGAACATCAGACAGGGCAGGTTTCACCCTGACACCCCTTGTTTGGAGGTCTGCTGGCTTTAGGAAACTCCAAAATGTCCATCTGCCTACAAGGTTCTCTTTCTTCCATCTCTACCCCCTCACCACATAGGCACTGGTAGCTTCCAACTGAAATTAATTTGGGTCTATATTTTGTATTGTCTTTGGATAGGTTATGGGGCAAAGGGTTCTCCTCTGTACTCACCTGCAATATCCCAGAGCTGCAGCCGTACCACAGTCTCAGCATCCCAGCTCAGCACCTTCAAGGCAAAGTCCACCCCGATGGTGGCCCGGTAGTGAGGGGAGAAGTTCTGGTGGACATAACGTTTGATGATGCTGGTCTTGCCCACTCCCAGGTCCCCGATCACCAGCAGCTTGTAGAGGTGCTCCTTCTGATTGTGCTTCTGCATCCTTCCTGTGGCTGCGGCTGCTCCCTGCAAACTGATTGCATGCTCTGCCCAAGGAATCCTGCCAGCCCGAGGGGGAGAGAGGGAGTGAGGAACTGGGGAGGGAAGGAGACCAAGGTAGGTGGAGGCTCTTTCCCTTTGTAAGGAAGCAGGATCACCAGGTCCAGCAGGCAGCTCTGCTGGGAGATGAAGTAAGCAAGGGACTGGGGGATGAAAGTCTCCCAGAAAGTTTTGTGTGATGTGTGTAAAGATCAGCACGAGGTGTGTCTGGGATTAGTCTGGCTCCTAAAGAGCTTGCAAGCAAAATTCATGCAGCAGCCCTGTTCCCTTCTCTGCTGTAAGGACAGGGTTTCTGTTCTGCACCGGTTTTACACGCTGGTTTTTAAAATGTGACAATTTATCACCCTATGCTTGTTTCCAGGCATCCTTAACATGCTTGTCACAGCACAAAAATAAAAGCAGAAATCTCCTTTCAGAAGTTTCACTCCTCCTTTAAAGTGCAAAAGTTACACCAGTGTGGCTTTACCTTTGGATGTGATGTGGTTTTAATCAGTGTAAGTCAGTGTGAATGCAGTTGTATCAATATAAGGAGTGGTTATAGAAATATAAAACATCTGTACTTGTGTCCTCACAAAGAGGGCTGGTTGAATTTAACTTAATCCATTTAAAATCCATGGAATTTAATTACAACAGATGCGTATATTTTAACATAATTGCAGTTGTCTGCCTGCACCTATAAGCATGAATGCAGCACACAGCTTATGCTTTGTTTTTAATTACAATTAGAATCTACAATGCAAACAAAATCCAGATTTATCCCATGACTCTGATAATCAGAAGTTATGAAAGCAGAACAGCATTAGAGCATATGAATGCCAGGGTCTCAACAGTCCTCTGTTTCCCCAAATAAGTGATATCAAACTTGCAAACAATTGAATGCATTTGAGTAAATCATTCCATTGACATGACTGATCCTGTATTTCAAATGAACCCAGGGACACCTCAAATACGCAGCTTATAGTCCATTGCCTATAGGTGTTTGATTCTTTTAACAAGCTTTGATATCAAAACCCCAGAATTGTCACATTCTGTGGAAATGATTTTTACATTTATTGATGATATTGGTAAAATAAAACATGTTTTACACTTACTGAAACATTATTTAATGGAGTTCTTATCCAAATATGCACTGAAAAGGCATTATAAACTTGTCATCTATCCAAAAAGCTGGAATTTAGGAGACAAAGAATTCAGAACACTTGTGTTATGCAATCTTTTATAATCAGTCTTTGAACTCAAACTTTACAGTTTTTATATATGCATACACACAAAGTGGAAATGGGTAATTTGAGAGGAAAATAGTTTTATTTTCCTTGAAACTTTTTTATTTTAGGAAGAGGCTTTTTTTTCAGTAAGATTAATTTTTTTTTTTTCAAAAACCAGCTCTCATCTCTATCATTCTGTTTAGAAAGAAAATTTTAAAGGGCTTACCCTTGTTAGCTACAGACATACAAGACTACAACTAGTTCACTCCAATCAGTTACTATCTTTCCATGACTCAAGCTTATTATTGTTGCTACTGGTAGGGTGCAGTCTGTGAGCCTTACCTTCACAGCACTGTTTTAGGAGAGGATGCAATACCCAATGCACTTCTAAGCACTCACAAATCCCTTTAAAGTTTGATGATTTCCTATTTTAGAGGTTGAAAAAAAGAGAGGCTGAGAGGGTGTAACAATTCAAGAAATGACAAAATGGGTGTTTCTGATGAGATTGAAATTACATCTGATCTTTTATCCTTCTTTGATGATGGCCAATGCTTGGAGAGCAGTGCATGGAAGATCTCTGTGAGCAGGTATTAGGGAACTGGAGATATTAAGCTGTTAGCAAGAGATTGGCCTACACCCAGAAGCATGAGGCTTTACCTCTCTTCCAAAGTTTTTGTTAGCATTAGCTATAATAGCTCTGGATAATCGTGTTACTTGTTCAAGTTTCCAATTCTTCTTGGAACCTGCCTAAATTCTTGGCCCCAGCAGCACCCTGGTACAATGAGCTCCTCAGAGGCTTAACCAAGGTCATCCCCAGATGGCTGAAAGGGCTACAAGGAAGGTATTCAGTGAGGTGCTCAGATACGAGGTGAGAATGTGGAAGGCTTCATTGCATTCAGAGGGATGATTTGTTGAGCTACTCTGAAGCATGGACTGAAGTGTCTTGCTGAGTGGAAGCTGATCCCAGATCTCCCAACTCCATGATGAATTGGCTTTCATAGACACTGTCTGCTGAATGCTCCTAAGGTGAGAGCAGGCTCTTAGACCTTTTTGAAGGACTGCTCCCATGTCCTCAAATATGTGTCTGCACTGGTTTGCCTTCATTGTCATCTATAGCCACCAGAGCAGGGAAGTGTGGATGTATTCCTCATTTGCAGTCATGGGGCAGAAAATCTGGGCTGGTGAAGTCTTAAGTGATCCCTGCAAGACTTGTTTGATGTTACCACCTGATCTCTTCATACACATAACCAGGTTACTGTGACTCTATGATCTGATGTCCAGGGAAGCGCACTCAGCCTGGAGCTGATGCAATGCAACCTGTCAACTGAGACCTCAGTTAAGGGCAGGTAATGTAAACCATATTAGCTTGCATTTACCACCCACAGGTAGTAGTTAGCAAGGCTCAGCTGACATGGAGTAACTTGTTAAGCTGGGAGAACCAGATCGGGTCTCTGAGCTCTTATTCTGCTGCTTCAGGTCCTTCAATAATGCCAAGGCAATAAGAACATGTAAACATGGCACTCATTTAGATGATATTTCAGTGTTTGTATTTTGGTTGTCTGTGTTTTTCTCTGGCAAAGACATACATTTTAAACTTAATTAAATCGACTATCAAGTTTTTTTAAACATTATTTAGTTCTTAAACAATAACTGAAATTCCACAACTTATACCTATGCTGTTTATTTTTGTATTCCCTGCCTATTCACTATGCTATTTGCCACAGTAGTGTCATCCAATGTCCTGCTCTCTCTATTTTAACACCTATACTGATATTATTAGATTATATTAACACTCCGTTTTAACTGACAGGAATTGATACATACTCTACACATCGTTGTAATTAACAACATTTAAGGAAATTCCATCAAATTAAGGCATTACAGACTTTGCTGGCCTCAGCATAAACTTCAAACCCATTTTACAGTGATAATTTTATGAATTTCTCACTATTTCTCTGCTATTAGTAGAGATCCTTTTCTCTGAGAGAAGTGATAAAACTGAAGATGCAATTACATTGACAGGACATAACTACATCCCGGATTCTATCACTCCTCTCTGCGTGGCATATACCACAGAGAAAGACGTCAATCTTGACTGAGCACCACAGTTGTTACCAACATACATTTAAAACTGACAATGTTATCTGAGTTATTGAAACCACAAAGTAGTAGTTTTTGTCCAAGGAAACATATTCAGATTATTAGAAATGTGGGTACTCAAAGAATTGGCATCTCATTTCCTATGGCTTTTACACCACAGCCATTGATATTATTCTTTGTAGCTTTAAATATCTTGAAGGGATTGGCTATACCAACATACTGATCTTACTGAATATATAATAAAAATGACACCATAATCCAGAGAAATGCTAAATATACATCTGCATATGTATGCATATATCTGTATAAATACAGATACACAAATTAATATGCAAGATCAGAAGATTATTTTATGTCCTGCTTTAAAATCAATACAAAACATTGTCATTCTACAGTTTTTTGCCAGACTTCTGTACCCCAGTTAATCCTGGGACATGGAATAAATACTAATCTGCTAGCTACACAGAAGACTAGTTCATCTTTTATTAATACATGGTCTGCCCCTTTTCAGTCATAGCACATTCACTGACTTCATCATGGGAATGGTCAATCATGACAAGAATAATCTTTTATAGCGAAATGGATTGTTTTAACAAAGTGGTGCATTTCCCCCAATTTTATTTTTATATTAGGAAGACTTAATTAGTTTTGATTTTCTTCTATTCCAATGGTTCTTGTGATTAAGACATTTAGTTAAAACTTACTATGGCTCATCACACATACCCATACTGGAATGGTTATTGACTTGCCAAACATAGCTAAAGCTCTGCTTTGATTAAATTATGATCTTCTTAACTTAACTTATAATTAACTTAGCAGAAAATGCACTTTATCAGGAAAGATCCCTCAAGGAATATCTAACTAAAAGTTTATGCAACCAGTAGAATAGATTTTGTGGTCAGATGTCATGTTACTGTTCTGAAACAAGTTATAACTCCTGCACTCAATTATTCTCACTCATTACAAATTCAGTCTACACCCTGGCTGAAAGCACTCTATCAATAACATAACAATGCAGATTGAAGGGGCATGCCCAAGTGTTAACCACTTGGGGATTACTATCCAGATGTCCCACAAAATAAGGTCTGGATGGCAGAAACAGCCTATAGCAGTGTCTGTTTTAAATCAGGAAATACATTTGCTACATTTTAGCTGAAAACAGCTAAAATCTTACAATAGCAGCGCTGTTATAAAACTCTTAAACAGGCACAAGTTACTGGTTGAGTGTCCAGTTTTGCCCTACTAGAGCAATGGCTTTCTAGGGTTAGAGATCTTGCAAGACTAAACCTCAAGGCAAGATGGGATTCAGGCCAGAGAAACAGTGAGAACACAGGAAAAGAGATTACAAATGTTAACAGCCCATGTGTGTATGACTCATTGTATTTAAAGACTGAGAGTCTGTGGCTCTCTCACAATTACAAATCCTTAGTCTGCTAAAGGGACCTTGCTTGGCTACTTATTGCATATTCCAATATACCTGGATAACCAGCCCTGTACAGATGCCTCAGGGCATCTCAGATGGTTTTGGCTACCTGTGTGATTACAGTCAGTGCTCAGATGCAAACACATGTTTCTGTTCCATCAGACTCAAAATATAACAATAATTGATGTAATTCCCTTTCTCAAAACTGATTTTTTATTATTATTACTATTTTTTATTGTTTATAGACTCACAGCCTAATAAAATCCAAGTTAAGGTCTATCCTTTGGAGCCTGCAGCAAAATCTTAGATGGGTTGCAGTGCATTTTACACCAAGTGCATTAGAACAGTCCCCTGGGAATCCACAAACACGGTGCAACTCAAAAAAGCA